TTATTTGTTATCTTATTGTCTAATTTTTTGAGTTCTTTGTATACTCTGGATATTAGGGCTCTATCTGAAGTGTGAGGAGTAAAACTTTGTTCCCAGGATGTAGGCTCCCTATTTACCTCTCTTATTCAATTCCCTATTTACCTCTCTTATTGTTTCTCTTGCTGAGAAAAAAACTTTTTTGTCCAATTTTTAATCAAGTTTCTTTCTTGCTACCGAGTTACTTACATATTTTGAATACTAACTCCTTATCAGATGATGATTTCTCCATTTCATTTTAGTAAATCAAGTTTAGGTGTTTTATCCATTCTGAGTTGATTTTTAATATAGTACAAGAATGTGCATTCTTTTGCATGTGGATGTATAGGTTTCCAAATATCATTTGCTGATGACTGGTCTTTCTGTATTGTGTGGTTTTGGAATTTTTATTAAGGATCAATTAACCAGAAATGCAGAGGTACATTTCTGGGCTCTCTATTCTGTTCCTTTGGTCTACATGTCTGTTTTTGTGCCATTGCTATGTATATTTGACAAGTTGCTTTTCTCTTGCTGGCTGCTTTCAAAATTGTCTTTGACTTTTTAGAATCTGATTGATACACTCTGGAGATGCGTTTAATACATCTGAAGTGCCTTGGGATTCATGAATCTAGATAGTCATTTCCCTCTCCAAATATGGGAAGTTTTCCTTCCCTTTCTGTTTTGTTGTTCCTTTTACAACTCCCATATACATATTTTGATTCACTAGAGGTATCCTTTTCTTCTTCACTCTCTTCTAATGGGAATTTCAAATGACCTGTATTTGAGATCATTCTTTCATTTCTTTGATTCTGTTGTAGAAATTCCCTAACACATTTGTTTTTCAGCTCCAGAATTTGTTTGGTTAATTACCAATTTTTTTTTCATGTATTGATTCCTCCTTTTTTTGTATCTCACGGAGATTCTTTTAGATAAGTCATTTTGAATTCTCTTGTCAGGCAGTGTGTGTGCATGATTATATAGATCCTTGTCTTTAGAGTCAGCTATTGGTGCTGTCTTTTGCTTCTTTGTATAATACTTTCAGGATTATGCATGATCCTTGTAGTCTTTGTTGGTATCTGTGCATTTGAAGTAGGCACCTCTTTCATTTTTATAGACTATGTGGAAAGCCCCGATTATCCACAGATTCTGGGTGGGCTATGTGGTAGCAGCTTCAGGTAGGCTGACTTGGCACCTAGGTTCACAGGGGTCTGGCTCCATGGAGCCAGTCCAGTGTCAATGACTGCTTGAGAAAACCTGAACCCTGGACCACAGAAGCCAACCTGGAGCACGCTTGTAAACTGTACAATTCAATAGATTTTAGTATACTCACACAGTAAACCATCATCACTAATTTTAGAACACTGTTATCACCAAAAAAGGAAATCTGTATACATTAGCAGAAAGTGACAAGTTCTGACCATTGTAATATAAGAAAAATGTGCATAACATCACAACAAGTCTTTTAAGACCTAGTGCTTAGTTCACCATGTTATCCTTTTGTCATGTGGAATTGTGTCACTCTAGGGGTGGAGCACTATCACACATTTAGGAGTGAAAATAAAAATGGAGGCAAGAATGATATTGGCCAAATTATACTGATATATCGTGTGCACGTATGAACATGCAACAAAAATCCCATCATTATGTACAACTATAATGCACCAATTAAAAAATGTGGGAAAAAAAATGGTGTCAAGGTCTTGATGAACCAAGAGGGAAAAAATAAAACTTTGCTGTTTCAAGTCACTAAGTTTTTGGAGTAGACTGCAGGAACAGAATAATATATACATAGGATAAAGGTTTGTTCGATGAGAAATTATTTAGAAGTGGGATTTTTTCAACAGTTTTAAGTTTTGTAATTCTAAAATGACACTGATATTAATTGGTCTCTTAAAATGGAACAAACAAAAGACTCTCAATCAGAATATCACTGAAGGAAAGTCACCTCATTTGAGATAAGAAAAGGATGCAATTACTTATATTTATGAAGGAGAGGATATAATACGAATACTGAATTTCATCATGAACCTTGCTCTGCTGATGGGAGCAAGATAGGTATCTCTGTTTAATATAACTATGAAAATTATGGTTTCTTAAAGGTTCTTTCTAGAATTCTACCTGAAACTTATTATTTGGACTGTAGATGAGGTGCTAGACTGACCTTCCCCCCTCTAATCAATTATCCTTCAGCCTATATTAGACATTACTTAAATAAGTATACCTCAAATATTCATTCTCAATATCACATAGTGTGAGATATTTGATAATGACCTTAAGATAGATTCTATTCATAACAATGCTACAGGTCTAGTTTAGGTTTTTATTACTCATCTTCACAACAAAATCCTATCAATCTATCAAAAAAAATGGGCCTTTTTTTTCTTTCTCTCATCCTCTAATCTTTTCCTTACAAACTTTCAGATTAAATCTTTCTAAAACAGTTCTTATCATGACATGTTCCTATGCAAAGACCTTCATTAGTTTTTGCTCTCAGAAAATAATTTTGCTAGGCATCTGTATTAGTTTTCCAACGCTACTGCAACAAAGTACTACAAACTGGGTGACTTCAACAACTGAATTTCATTGTCTCAACAGTTCCAGAGGAAGAAATCTGAGATGAGGGGCTTATTTTGGAGTGTTGTATGGAACCCTTTACTCTAGCTTCCATGGTTTGCAATCAATCCCTGGGTCTGTGTCCAAGCTTCCTTTAGGACTCTGGTCATACTGAATTATAGCCCATCTTAGTTCAATAGGCCTCATCTTAACTAATTATATCTGTAATAACTCTATTTCTAAATCAGGTCATATTCTGAGGTTATGAGGGTGAAGGACTCCTTCTTAACTGTATTCAAAGTTCTCCACAAGACTTCCTACTTACTTTTTCATCTTTATCTCCCATATGAAGGCAGTGAAGACAACTTCTGCATATAACTGAAATACTTTTCTCTTTGTACACATCTTTTGCTGTAATTCTTTTGTACTCACTCACCAAATACTATCCATTTTTAAGGACTAGTCTGCGTAATCCTTTTTCCATGAGGATAAATTTAAGTTTTCTATCCAGAAACATTTTTTTTTGCCTTCATAGGTATATTATTTGTACTTGTCTTATGGAATTTAGCAATTTTCTTACTTATAATTTGAGTTGTACATGTCTTATATGGTCTATATTCCTTACTGGGCATTAAGTCCCTTATAAGGATGAAGTACACATCTTATTCATCTTTTAATTTGCCCACGTTGCTTCACATGGTGCTTTATAATACTTGTTGAACAAAGTTGTGAAATCATACATTACAGTTTCATACTTACTTTTTTTAAAGACTGCAGAAAAAAATCTTATAATGGATGCTTTAGATTTTAATAAATAATATGGAAATAAACAAATGTTTTCAAACCAACATATAGTTTCTTGAACCTATCTAACAAAGTAGATAATTTGAAATTATCAATATTATGAAAAACCCATTAAGCAACCCTAATTTTCCTCCACAATATTGTTTTTAGAAATTCAAATGACAAAGAAAGCAGTTTTATTTCATTAATGTTACAGTTCATCCAATATTTATTAATCCCATTCTAGGTAGTTAAAATTTATGTTTTAAAAGGGAGAGAAACTAAAACTGAAAATGCAATACCAATAACAGACAAAATTTGAGAGTTTTGAACTAGAATTTAATTCATAACAAGCAAAGGTGCTTTACCCATTCTCTATTTAAAATAAAAACTGAATTCTTTCTCACACACACACACACACACACACACACACACACACTGATACTCAAATGTAGCACAACTTTATATAAATAAACCATTGTAAAACAAACTTTCAGGATTTTGCCTTCAGAGTGTGAAGATACTTCTATACAATTTAATAGATAAAATATCAAGACTCAAGGGGTTTTATACATTCTAAATAAGTACTTAAAAATTAATTTTGGTATTTACTAACTTAAGTACTCAAGAACTTGGTTTGAAGTGTCCAACAGACTGAAAGTCTGCTTTTCAAGAGTACCATGATCTTCTATCAATGGAGAAGTTTTGGCATTTCTATATTCTAACAGTTCACGATCCTTGCTTGATGTTAGTAACTCATTGTCAACTATACCAATAGGTGCATCTTCTACAAGAATATTTGCTTGGTAGGCTCCAACTGGAATTTCAGGCAATCCAATGTAGTCATGATCTGTCACTACTGAACCTTGCAAGAGATAAAGACTGTCTGAAAGAAGAGACATAAGTTTGCTTTTCACAATTATAATTAAATATCATTTTAAAATTAAACAATGTTAAGAGAGGAACAAAAGTTAAACTAATGCAAATGAACAATCAAGATTAACTTCTTCTTACTTATCCAGTTAAAATGTGTGTGTGTGTGTGTGTGTGAAATAAATAAAAATTTATATATTTATATATCTCTCACACACACAATGGTCAAGGATTTTAAAACAGATAAATTTTCCCATTACCTTGACCTGTCTTAGACAGATACTTATGTGTGGAAGACAGGGAGTAGGAGTGGTAGAGATTAAAAGCAAAATTAAAAACTATGTTTTTGATAATGATGATGTCTTTAATATGCTTCTGGCAAAATATTCCTGGGTGTATTATCAAGGTTTAAAATATTTGTCACATCCTTACATGTACAATATTAGATAATTCTTCGATCTTTTTACAACACACATTAGGAAGATAATATCAAATTATTACAATATAGGTTATAAACAGATTACTGAAAATAAAGTTGGTAAAATCAGATGTGATAGGAATGTGTAAGGAAGCAGGCTTCAATGAAGTAGCTTTAAAAGGTTAGCGTAAGTGTAATTCTTAGGTCTAACTAATCTACATTGAAACTGTTACAGGGAATCTTCTTTCCAGCATTTTATTATATTCTTAGCAAATTCATCATTATCCTCAGGAAAAATGTATCTAAAATGAATGTTAAACTGACAGCGAAGTAGCACTATCTTTTAATATAAAGAATAACAGAAAAGGATTTCTTCCTATCAGATACTTTTAATTCATTACAAAGGCAGTTTTCTACCACATCTGATTATGTCCTGAACCTTGCCTTCTTTTCTGAATTTTCTCCCAAGACATTAACAGATTCTCTTTAAATTTTTATTAGGTTATTGAGTACCTATATTTTAAATTCAAGAAATAGCAAAAGAAAGATAATTTGCCCATTTAGATTGAAGATCAATGAAAGTTGATCAGACTAGATAAATTTGCTAACATGTTTGGGGAAATGATCCTACACTAACTAATCCAATTTAAACATTTGTAAATTTAAATTTATAAATTTCAGTACATTATACAAATCTAGGCTATCAACAGATCACATAAACAAGTTAGGGCTTATGTTAGCCCAGTTATTCTTCCTGAAGTAAACTATGCCTGGTATTTTAGTTTTAAGAGGTGTTCCAAGTTTAATTTCAGCAATTCTTATTAACGTAAAAGCAGTGATTAGGTTGAAAATAACATTAAGAAGATACACAATTTACGATGGAACATAGATAATTGAAGATGAAAAGAAAATGATATCTGTATTCTGATATGGGATAAACTGATGGATAAGATGAATAAAACTGAAAGAGAAAATACAAATCACACACCCCATGAGAAGTATTAGGACCAACAGCAGCATGAAAGAAGAAAAAATGATCCATGGAAATGAAAAACTCAGAATGTGTTGACAGAGGTTTGACATTGGGGCAGGTAGTAATTTATAAGAGAACTTCAAAGTTTAGGTATGGTAATAGTATTGTTGGTAAATTATTCTACTAATAGTCAATGAGAATTCTATAGGTTCAAGGTCTGTACACTGCTGTAAAGTTATTAAGTGATTATAAATACCATAGCATTAAAGGAATTTCCAAAGACAGTTTCAGAGATCTTTGATGAAAGTTTTCTGCCTAAAATTTTTTCCATACAGATAAGTGGACTGTTCTACATCCGAAAAATATACACTGTAAATATATATCGTCAGAGAGTAATATGCCTACATGTTAATCGCTTATGAGTTAATCACTTTGATTTCCTGGAAATGCATTCAAAGACCTTGAGCTTAAGCACTCGAAGTTACTCTGACTTTACTAGTATCACTTATTAGTAAAAGGAAAGCTTCAAATGTATGTAATATAATCATACACAAATATACACATTTTTTCTTTTAAATAAGTGAGAATCTAAACTACCTTACTATAATAAAACTGTAGAGAACAAGGATTATACTCAGCAAATTCGACACAAATCATTTTATACACAATGGAAAACTACTCGAAGTTATCTAGGTTTCAAATTCTACTATAGCTTAAATCTTCTAATTCAAAAGAAATACTCTTTAATTTCAATAAATATTATCAGAAAAGAAACTTTGAACCTCATACATATGTTGGTCTAATATTTTAGATATGGAATTATGAAAAATATGACATTAAAAATATTTTATCATATTGCCTTGTATTTTTAAAAATTTTTACTAGAAAATTTAAAATTATATGTTATATAGTTTTTGTGTTATATATATATTAGACTATGTTGATCTAGAACAATCCTGGGTCAGGGATATAGAAAAGAATGTGAAGCTTTTACCCTCAAAATAGAGAAAGATAAACATACCATATTAAAGTACTTCTCTACTCAGTTATGTTACACAACAGACTTTACAAACTTCTTTTCTCATCCTTTTAATTAAGTTATGATTTATTTAATAAAAGTATCATTTCAGGTTTTTTTTGGGGGGGTGGCGGTTACCAGGGATTGAATTCAGGGGCACTTGGCCACTGATCCACATCCCCAGCCCTATTTTTTTTTAATTTTATATGAATACATATATTTTAGTTGTTGATGGACCTTTATTTTTATTTATTTACTTTTCTATATATGGTGCTGAGAATTTAATCCAGTGCCTCACAGATACCAGGCAAGTGCTCTAACACTGAGCCACAACTCCAGCCCACCAGCCCTATTTTGTATTTCATTTACAGACAGGGTCTCACTGAGTTGCTTAGTGCCTCAATATTGCTGAGGCTGGCTTTGAACTCTCCATCTTCCTGTCTCAGCTTCCAGGACTGCTGGGATTATAGGCTGCTGTGCCAGTAATTTGATATACTTTTTTATTATGTACTTTTAAGAAATAAAGCAATAAGATTAAAAAATAGATTTAAAAATAATACATTAAAATAAGAACCTCAAAAATCTGAATGACTTTAGTTAATTTTTCCTACAGAAAGAAAAATATAAGGTTTCATACTACTTAACTTTCTTATTCTGAAGAAAGGTGACTAAATTAACCCTATACATGGTCTGGTAATTCTCAGTCTTTTAGAACATGTTGCCATTCTATTATATTGTTTCTCATAAATAATAACTATAATTTCATATCTCATCACTATCATTAATAATAATTAATACTATCAAGAGAGGACTGGATTGACTCTTGGAGATTATAAAACTAAAAAGCCAAAAGAAGGCTTTCTCTGCCTGAGCTATATCAATAATAATCAATAATAATGTGGATATTTTGAGTTTAATGCCATATAGACTAACTTTTGCTTTGTTTCATTTATGCAGACTATACTCTGGTAGGCAGAATAATGGACTCCCAAAGATGTCTATATAGTAATCCCTGGAACCTATGCATATATAATCTAACATGCCAAATTAAGGTAGTGCTGGAATTAAGGATGTAAAAAGTTACACTTAAAATAGGAAGATTAGTTTGTGAGGTAATACATGTCTATAATCCCAGTTATTCAGAAAGCAAATGCAGGGTGATTCCAAATTCCAGCCTGCCTGGGCAACACAGAGACCCTTTCTCAAAATAAAATAATACTAATAAAAAAGGTCAAGGATGCAGCTCAGAGGTAGAACATTCCTGGGTTCAATCCCTAGTGCCATTGAAAATGAAGGGGAATTATCTTGAATTATGTAGGCAGGTCCAAGGTAAAAGATCTTCAAATGTGGAAAAGGGAGGTAGAAGAGGAGGTTGAGCCACACTGGCTTTAAAGACAGAAGAAAAGGACCTTGTATCAAGTAGTGACGATAACTTCTAGAAAATAGAAAATGGATTCTTTCCAGAGCCTTCAGAAAGGAGCACAACTATGGTAATGCTTTGATTTTATCCCACTGATAGCTATGTTGGACACTAAATTATAGAACTTTAACATAACAAAATTTTGTTGTTTCAAGCCACTAAATTTATTGTAATTTGTTTTGGTAACAATAGAAAACTTACTCAATAGTGCAAATCATTTTGCAGGTGCAGGGTTTTCCATCGTGAAGGAAAATGAGTGTGAAATTTTTGGGTGAAGGAGACCAAATCTATCACAACTCAAAATTTGTGATGAATAGAACAGTGGATTAATAATGTAATTTTTCCTTTCAAAAGGGAACATTTATGATTATGAAGAGATACTACAGTATGTTTTAAAATTTCTTGCTAAAAAAATAATGAGACAAAATATTAAATAGCCTTGCTTAAAATAGCAATGACAAATACTGTAGATCTAGTACCAAATGTGTTCTGTCTACATTATGTTCTAGATAAGAATGGATAAGATTTTGGCAACAGACGTATATGTGTTTCAGATAGTAAATCTTTAATATAACTACAAAATCTCAAGAATGGTGAAGAGTGTTGATGACAAAAGCAGACAAATTTATAGTTCTTTTGGATATAGGTTGCCCAAATTTATGTCAAATATGAAGTTGGGTTATTCAAAGATATTGTTTGCATTAAATTTAGCTCAAGGACTCCTGAAAATCAGCTTATAAAATGAAGATTTTTAGGAAAATACACGATATTTAAAAAAAATAGATGGCAAGAATCTCATGTATGTTGAGTCTTTGCAAATGAAAAAAATACAAAAAAGAGGACCAAAGAATGGCCAATCAAGATGCAGATTCTAAGATGACCAGATGAGAACTCCCTTTGGTTAACATGAAAAATTAAAACAAATTCACCCATTAATCTTAGATTACAATGTGTATGCTAGTAGTAATATTACAATTTTCTCATATTACTGAAAGAAACATCTTTGGAGAATTCAATAATGAGGCAAAATTTATAATGTTTAGAAACTTTTGTTCCCAATTAAGATTAGCTATATTCAGAAGCAGCAAAATATCTGCTGTCCTTTCTGAGAAAGTCTGTGGTAAAAGTAAACTAAAAAATATTGAAACAGATCATGGTACAGGGTCATTTTAAGTGTAAATTTTGTATTAAGGAAGGTCGGTACATTAGAAGGCAGCAAGTCCTGAACAGCCAAGATAAGAAAGAAATCTTGCTACAGAAAGGATAGCTTATAAATAAATAATCTTTTTTTCTACATAACTTGTGGAAGCAAGAGATTATACAGGGTAGCTGAGAACCAAGAGGCACAAGGAATGAAAGCACTTATCTTCTAACAAAGAGAATGAAGGTACTTGTGAGTTTTCAGAATTAGAACATAGTCAAGATAAGTTTACTGACTAGAATAACTGTGTCTGTCACAAGAAGGAAAAGCACTAAGAGCTTTTAGCACAAGAGTTGTGGCTTAGATAAGAAGCATAGTTGAGCTATTATTACTGACCAGCTCCTAAGGGCTTCACATCCAAATACAGGATAAGTGTAGGTTACTTGTCATTGCGGCTCTTGTTGCTATTTATTTAAACCTGCTAAATAACTTGCTTATATTGTTTAAAAATATACTGTGTTGGCTGGGTATGATAGTGCATGCCCATAAGATATAAGTCATCCTGGTCAATTGAGGTGAGACCCTAACTCAAAATAAAATAAAAAGGGCTGGGGGTTTAGTTCAGTGGTAGAGTGACCCTGAATTCAATTCCCAATGCCATAAAACAAATAAAAACAATATTATATCATCCATTAGCTGTTACTTATATTCAAATATTACTTATGCTGTACCTTTCTTTAGATAAAAAGCATAATTATTGGCTAAGGTATCAGTTAACTCTCTCTCAGTCATCTGCCCCAGAGAAGCTCTAGGGACAAAATAGAACACTCTTGTTAAAGTAAGAGACTTAATCTGAAAGCTATGGCAAAAATGTTATTTAACTAGTCTACGAAAGTAAAGGTTAGAAAGATCAGCTATCTTGACTATAAAGAACTAGTCATATTTGGGGATAATTATGACTGTTTAGAGTACAATCATGTCTTCTTATAGCATTGTGGGAACAACCCACCTTGTACCCTCACCTTTCCCCACTCATGACATTTTTAAGTTCCCTTATTTATTTCACAACTAAATTCTGTACAATGTTTGTTTATGGCATTGATAATTTTAGTTGCTTTTTTTCCATGCTAAAATCAGGCATCAAGTGACTAACAGGATGTTGTGAAAGCAAAAACAGAAGATATAGGTTCAGTATTTTCCATATGAATTACTAAAAAGCTTACTACAAATCAAAATAAAATCTTTCAGTTTCAGAAGACACATTCTAATAAAACAGGCTTGGGATACCTACCTAAAACTATTATCAAATTGCATAAAAATAATGAGAACAAAAAAAAACCCAAAAAAGTAAGAAAGATTTTTAGTATTTTTAATTTCTCTTTTCAAAGAAAGTAAAAATGCACAAAAGTGACAGATACTTACCTTGTTCACTGGATTCTCTTATGTAAGGCTTAAGGTGGGACATTTTGATAGGTCTTTTAAGCCTAGTTCCAGTATTGTCTCTGAGGACAGCACATCCACTTTCTGTAATATAGTCTATGACACAAGGACCAACCCATTCAGATTGAAAACGACCATCCTTCCACCAATTTTTCCTTTGTCTTAAAACTTCATGACCCACTTTTAAATGAAATGGATTTAATTGCTTTGGTTTCTTTTTAACAATGATTTTGCTTTTATTTAGGTCATCTAAATTGTTGTTCTCCATCTACAAATGCAAAAAAAAAAAAAAAGCAAGAGGTGAGTTATTTCTTGAAGGCAAATGCAGATAATGATAATATTATAACAAAATGGTTATTTATTGAAATGCTACTGTAAAGTAGGCAAGAGTCTGATTCAATTCTTAAAGTAACATTCCAAAGTCAGTATTTTCGCCCCTGCTATACAGAGAAGGCAAACTAAAATATGTTAGTCATTTCCCAAAGTCAAAATACAGAATACAGCTATGATTCTAAAACTCGTAATTTTCTCATTACTATCAGAATTCCAAACTAGCAAACATACTATTTAACTAAGACAAGAAGAACTTAACATATAGAAACATTTTGGTTTAAGGGAATGGCATATGTATGTGCATGAACATGTACACATGCTGAAATTTTAAGAATAAATATCACTTTATAGAGTTCTATAGTTTTTCATTTTGGGGGGAGATGGGGGGGTTACTGGGGATTGAAGTCAGGGTCACTGAACCACTGAGCTACATCCCCAGCCCTATTTTGTATTTTATTTACAGACAGGGTCTCACTGAGTTGCTTAGAGCCTCATTGTTGCTGAGGCTGGCTTTGAACTCATGATCCTCCTGCCTCAGCCTCCAAAGCCACTGGAATTAAATAGAATCACCTGGCCCACTGAAGTTGTCTTATTCTCCATTATTTTATCAGCTTCTTTAATTGCATCTAGAATTCTAGCAAACATATTTGTATTACCACCATCCACTTCATGAAGATTATCCGAAGTCTCTGGCATATAAGGATTTCGGTTAAACATTTGAAAATACGGTGTATTCTTAGTAGGTTCCTATTTTAAGAAAAATAAACAATTTTGTAATAAAATATTTTTTCTAGCCAAGAAATAGTCATAACTCAGAAGTACAGAATTAATATAAAGGCACATACCAAGTGAGTTATATTGAAGGCAAATGAAAGAGCTGATAGGTGCTCATCCCAGTTGTTGGGATGGTCAGCACAGTATTTGGAAAGAAATGTTTTGATTGTGCTGGGAGTACTTTCGGTTGGATTAACAGTTCCAGAGGCATGAGGAATTATAATCTGTTTTGTACCAAATAATCCATATAGTTCATCATTGATCTGAAAAATATATAAAACAAAGTTGACTTTTTAACATTTGTATTTTTCACTGATTTAAAAGACTTCAAAAAGAATTTGAATATTATCCTTTTCACTGACCACAGCACATTCTAAATAGAAACATATATACTATGGGCATGCTAGTGCATGTTTATAATCTCAGCCACTCTAGAGGCTGTAGCAGGAGGACTAGCCTGGACAACTTAGCCAGACCCCATCTCACAATCAAAAATAAAAAAGGGCTGGGGATATGGCTCAGTGGTGAAGTGCCCCTATAATCAATGTCAAATACTTCAAAAATAAAAAATAAAAATAATTGTTATATTTTACTTAAAATAGTAGTTACTACTGAGTCCTTGCTATGTGATAGTCAACACAAAAGATGCTTTACATTGTTGTCATTAAATCTTAAAATGATTTTCTGAGGTATTATTAACCCTATTTTGAAGATAACCTTGGGAGGTTAACTGCCTTACCACACACATAAAATAAAGAAACAGAAGGTCAGGATTTAACAGCAATTCTGTATCCAAGTAACCTTTTAATTCAGTTCATCATATATATAGTAGGTCACATAATTCAGTAAATAGTCAGGTGCCCTTGGCCAAGTGACTGAAACTCACTTGGCCAAACTTCCTTATCTGTAAAATAATGAAACTTCTTATTCAGAACTCCTATGAGAATTAAATAACTTAATGTTTATAAAGCATTTTAAAAGAATTCTTGCCAAGCAATAGTCAAGAACTTATTTGTTTTAGCTACTTTATTACTTTTAACTACCTTTATTACTTTTAACTACTGCTATTATTTTTGTTGCTATTGCAGTTATTTTATGCAGGGCCTAAAAGAAGTTAAAATGAGTTTAGAAAACTTGTTAACAGTAAAATGTAAAATAACTACTTTTCCTACATCATGCCTCCCCAAACTTTAAAAAAAAAATAGATTCAATAACTTATTTTATTTATTTTTATGTGGTGCTAAGGATGGAACCCAATGCCTCACACATGCTAGGCAAACGCCTTACCGTTGAGCTACAACCCAGCCTTACATTACAATTAAACATGTAATACTAATCAGAGAAAAGCTGAAAGAAATGCAACTGTATTTCCCAATCTCCCTGGAAGGTAAAAGTGCTCATGAAATACAATTCTGGCAGAAAAAAGATATGCTAAATTTATTATATAATCTCAGCTTTCTTAGTTTTTTTGTTTTTGCTCACTGTCTTCCCCTTTCTTCTGACTGATATGTAGACACTGTGACCTGAGCTCTGGCATATTATGTGCCTAAGATGCAGAGTTACTACCCAAAGATGGTAGAACAGAAAGCTCTCAGCATGGGTTCCCAGTGATATTCATAGTTATCATTCTTTCCTTTTCATCCTGGTCTTCTTTTGTCTAAGTACAAAACAAATTCTTTTTGCAGTTTATGTATTGGAAAAGGAAGAGGAATTCTCTGTTACTTGCTGCTGAACACAATTCCATGCTGATATATGTACTAATCTACTAATCAGTTCTTATCTACTAATTTTCTCCTTTTGATTAAAAAGTAATTAGAAATCTCAGAGAACAGTTGTCACTGAAGTTAGTTTCAATCTGAAGACTTGATCAATGGCTTTAAATGACTCATGGAAAAGGCTTCAATCCCTTTATTACAAAAGGTTGCCTAGGAATAATCCAGTGAATCCACTTGTGATAACCTTATCCCATCAACTTTTCCCCTCAACCATCTAATCAGATATTCTATCAGTTGTTACAATTTTAGTTTCATATGACATTTTAAAAAATGAAGATGTTTTCCCATTGAAAAGTCTTATTCTCACATGACCAGTATAACTCCACATCATATTCAACCACAAGAACGGGATCCTAATTAGAATAAGTTATACTCAATATATGTATAATATTTTAAAATACACTCTACTGTCAATGTATATTTAAAAAGAACAAATAATAAAGGCTTATTCTCTTTCTTCAGAAGTTTACAAAAAGTTTTTGTATCTTTTATGTAAACAATTTAGCAAATACTCTAAGCTGAGTATGTTAGAAATATCTGAATTTTTATCTAAATGTATAATAAATTTCCCATTTGTGTATTGTTATAAACTTACTTCAACACTCTAGCAGTGTTTTCTTTCTTTATTTAAAAATTATTTTTAGTTGTCAGTGGATCTTTATTTTATTTACATGTGGTGCTAAGAATTAAACCCAGTGCCTCACACATGCTAGGCAAGTGCTCTACTACTCAGCCCAACCCCAGCCTAAGCAGGATTTTCTGTATTTGCTGACAAAAGAATACATTTTACATTTTCACCATTATACTTTTATGAAATATTTCAATTTAATCACAGCAAAAAGTACAAATTTTCCCAAACATGTAACTTTTATATTATAAAGAAATCTCACAAAAAAAGACTTGTAAACACGTTAAAGTTACTTTAAACATAACCAAAAAAAAAAAAAAAACTGCTGGCTAATCATAATGGCTTCTATATTATCATTAGTGAATTTCTTTGGATTTTTTTTTTTTTTTTTTCTTTTTTTTTTTTTTTTGGTGAAAGGATCCTGCCATGTTATTCAGGCTGAGCTCAAACTTTTGATCCTCCCACCTTAACCTCACAAGTGGCTGGGATTAGAGGTGTGCCACCAGTTGCCTGGCTTTCATTAAGTAGTGGACAACAAGTACATACACTACTAGCAAAAACTGATTAGTGAATGAAGTAAAAATACTTTCAATTTATTAGTATTTTATAAACATATACATATTTCATTTTCTTTATTATTTTAGTGCTGAGAATTAAACCCAGGACCTCGTGTATGCTAAGTATGTTTTGCTACTGATTTACACCCCCAGCTACGAGTGTTATATTTTAAAATGGATATTAAGTGGGTTAGGATGTAAATGCTTATTAAGTTGTCTGCATAGGCCTGTGCTGAAAAGAATTAACATGGAAGGTCTGAGACTGCTATCCTTTGAAAGTCCTCCTTATGCTGAGCTGGTGGCACACGCCTGTAATCTCAGTGACTCAGGAGGTGGCTGAGGCAGAAGGATTGCGAGTTCAGAGTCAGCCTCAGCAACTTAGCAAGGATCTAAGTAAGTCAGTGAGACCCTGTCTCTAAATAAAACACAAAAAAGGGCTAGGATTGTGTCTCAGTGGTTAAACACCCCTGGATTCAATCCTTAGTACAAAAAAAAAAAAAATCCTCCTTATAAGATTGAACCTTGGCAGATGTCTAAGATCTTGGATTCTGGTTCCCACCAAAAGGGTCTACCCACTCTCTGATAAGCATAGCTCAGTATGACTGAATAGTTTATACAAATCATGTGGCTTTTGCTAAACACTTTTTCTTCTGAGGGTTTAGAAATTTGTTATATGCCAGGCCAGGGTGCCTATGAGAAAAGGTCCCAGTAAAAACTCGAGGCACTGGGTCTCCAAAGAGCTTCCCTTGCAGGCAATATTCCACATCCCTTGTCACAATTCACTGCTGCAGGAAAATAAACAAATCCTGTGTAACTCTAGTGGGAGAGATCTTAGGAGCTTACACAAGTTACTATTTCTTGTATTTCTCTGACTTCTCCTCATATACCTTTCTCTTTGCTGATTTTGCTTTATATGCTTCCACTGAATAAACATTAACCATGAATATGCCTAAATGCTGTGTTCTCCTAGTGAATCATGAGGATTGTCCCTAGTGGAAGATGGGGATAGTCTTAGGGATCCTCACACAAGCCCTAACTACTTAATAAATACAAGTTTAGGTATTTCTTTTGGACTGAGACATCATAGGTATTATGTACCAAGAAAGTCTAGCTAACTCTGATTATTCTTATACGGTAATCTATCCCTTATGAAATTTTATACTTTTTTTTTCCTTTCCTTTCCTTTTTTTTTTTTTTTGAAACAAAGTCTTGTTATTTTGCTCAGGTTCATCTTGAACTCTGAGACACAAGTGATCCTCCCACCTCAGCCTTCCAAATAGCTAGGACTACAGGTGTGTACTACTCTGCCTGGTTTAATTACAAAAATTTAAAATAGGCCTTAACTCTAACAGCATTACATTTTTTTTTAGACTTTTCATTCATATTATTGCCTGCTCATTCTTCCAGATTAACTTAAATTAGGTAAAAGGCCAAGATAAGGGGAAAAACACCTTTCAATATTGAATACTCTCATTCATATATAAGATGTATTTTTCCATCTAGTCAAGTCCCCCTTTACCTGACAATTAGAGATTTTTAAGTTTTTATCAGTACATTCTAGTTACATATAAGTGAGGTTCATTCTGACATAATCATAAACATATGGAACACACTTTGTTTCATTTCAGTTCCCAGTACTTCTTTCCTCATCCCATTCCTTCCCTCTGCTCCCTTTCCTCTACTCTACTGGTTTGTCTTCTAATTTTTTGTTCTTGTTTTTTTTTCTTTTGATTTGTGCTTTATAGACACACATAAAGGTGGAATTCACTGTGGTATACTCATATAAGTACATCACATAATTTGATATATATATATATGTTGTCAATAGACCTTTATTTTATTTACTTATATGTGGTGCTGACAATCGAACCCAGGGCCTCACATGTGCTAAGCAAGTGCTCTACCACTGAGCCATAACACCAGCCCTGGTTAATTTCATTCTGTAGTTTCTCCCCTTTCCTGTTGCTTCCCCCTTAACCCTCTTCCTTTCCTCCCCTAATCTTCCTTCTGGCTTCATGGGCAAGAAGCAAACAAAGATTATTTTGTGTAATCTTCTCATTTTAGTTTGAGGATTCCCAAAGATAGGTTTACAAATATTTAGCAGCACAATAAGTACTAAAATCTAGTCTCCTAATTTCCAGTCCAGCTACCCTTGTACCATAGCAATTTATCTGAACTTATTAAGCACTTTATCATGCACAGGGCACTGTGGACTGAACACTGAAAGGCAGGAAGAATATACTCTCATACCTAAGTAGTTTAATAATCTTACCTGTTGAATGAATTCATCTCTTTGGTCCATTATTATTTTCTGAGGAGGTCCATATAAGAAAAATATATTGATAATAGCTTTAGAAATTTCTGATGCTGAAACATCACACAGAGGCAAAATCATAACCCATTTTGTAAACAAATCTGTCATGATTAAAGCATATACATGACTGCTGTTGCTTGTATGAAAAGGTCCCATCAGATCAACAGTAACTATACTCCATGGATTGTCCACCTTGAGAAGGTGTTGTTTAGGTGCTAGAATAACTGTATTTTTTGCCACTTGGCAATGCTGACAAGCATATACCTACAAAGAGGAACACAATAAAGAAAATAAAGACAAATATTAATATAGTTGACATATAAAATTAATCTTATAAATGATAATTTTGAAATGGTTAGTAGGTACTTTGCATTTTGAAGGAGAAACTTTTGGTCTAAGAACAGCAAACTGAATTAAACCTTTTATTGAAAAACTAACAACTAAGAATACTCTACCCAGAAAAGCTGCCATTTAGAAATGAAGGCAACATCAAGACATTTCCAGGGCAAAAAAAAAAAAAAAAAAATGAGTTAATTGTCATTGGACTGCCTTGTAAGAAATGCTAAAGGAAAATTTTCAAGTTGAAAATAACAACATGAAAACAAAAGTATAAAGCTCAGTGGTACAGAAAAAAATAATTAAATTCAAAACAAAAATCTTTTATTAAGAACAATAAGCAAATAGTAATTGCTATTTCTACCAAATGACCATCTTATAGGGTTTTAGTCATACGGAACATAATTCTAATTCACATTCAATAAATATTTATTAAACCAATAGGTCTTAAAGTAAGTTTTCCTATTATTTTACTTTGTTTTTTATACCTTTACTTTATTTATATTTGGTGCTGAGGATGGAACCCAGGGCCTCACATGTGCAAGGCAAGCACTCTACCACTGAGCCCCCAGTCCCTATTATTTTACTTTTTAATTGACACATAAAATTGTACATATTTATGGGAAACTATGTGATGATTCATTTTCTAAGACTTTAAATCAGTTTGTGAATATGCGATAATTTCTATATGTAAAAGATGTTTCTAAAGTTATCACTCTTAAGATGTTCATTCATTCATTTACTCCAAGAATATTCATTGATGTAATTTCAATAACCACATTTATAGACGCCAAGAATTTCTCTAGGTCCTAACAAAAGAAAAAAGGGGTGTCAGTGAACAAAAACAAAGCCCATGTTTCAGTTAAGGGAAGTGAGATGAGATCAAATGATAAATTTATGGATGGTGCCATTTTTCAATATACTTCTGTAATTTCACTTTGGAAACTAATTCCAAACTAACTCTTTAAGAAAAAGTTTTAAATGACCTTACTACAGGGTATAGTCATAGTTACTTTTGATCAGATTTTTTCAATTTCCAACTTGAACTTATTCACCAGATTTAATCAGAAATAACCTCTGATAATTTCAGAAGATCATATCCATTCTCAAATCATACATATTCAGTGACAAAGATTTCACTGCATGTTTATAAGGGAGGCATGGCAGGTTCACAATTTGATTTTGGTTTGGAGTTTCTGCCATGTTTGACACTTTCTAACTCAAATAGGAATAGAAATGAAAGCTGAGAGCAGAAACTGGGTTTGATTTGTAAACATATTCTCCTGCATACAGAAAATATGACTGGCATTAAAAATGTAATAAATTAATCAAAGGAATTTCAGCCCCATTTAAATTCTGCCTACACAAAAAAGTTCAATGATGAAAATGTGGTTCTAAATCATCTATATAAATATGGTATTTTTTTGTTTAAATATTTTATTTTTTAATTGTAGTTGAACACAATACCTTCATTTTATTTTATTTTTATTTGGTGCTGAGGATTAAACACAGTGCCTCATACATGCTAGGCAAGCACTCTACCGCTGAGCCACAACCCCAGCCCTAAATATGGTAGTTTCAAATGTTTAAACAATACTTTTATTTTAGTTCAAATTGTAATTTAGTGATTTAAAAGAATTGTGAAGGGAAATAAAACAATATATTTTTAGTACATAAACTCCCATACAAAAAAATACTTAATGAGAAATGTTATCCAGAGTAAATCTGGAGCAACAACGAATTTTGCATACTTCTTAAAAAAATATTAGTCAAAGTGTTCTAAATACACAAAGCCATACCCACTGTTTGACATCATTGGTCACAGAAGTCCAATAGTAATTGGATTCCACTAAAGTGAGGGTTCTGGATATGCCATGATGAGCTCCAGTGTCATTTTCATGGCATTCTCTTAGGACTTTCTTTTTTTCCTCTTCTGAAACAATTACCAAACGATTTTGTTTTCTGTCTTTTCCAACATAAAACAGCTTTTTATCTGGAATAAATGATACCAAAGAGATAAAACTGTAACTGTTTAAAAATTTATATCGTAAAGATAATCACAGACTTATCTTCAATCTATAGAGTTACTGAATTTACAAAATCTTTCTCCACTTAAAATAATATTTATTTGTAATGATGTCATCATACAAACTCTAAGGTCCTTAGCTGTTATACTTATTAGCTATCTAGGAAGAACCCTAGCTGCTTTAATTCTGTAACTATCAATACAAGCAGAGCCAGCTTATTTGCCAAAGCATGTGATAACTGTGACAGTATGAAATTATCTATGGGAGAACTCAAACTAGGAAAAATATCTGCAGATGCCTCCTAAAAATGGCATAAATTAGCAAATGAATTATATACAGAAAAATAACCCCCGGAACAGAATTTTCTAAAAATATTGCACTTACATAACTGTAGTTTTGTAAGCAACTACCTCTCTCTGCTTTTTCTAGATTTGAATAGAAGCTAGGGTTGGTAAAGAAGAAGAAGCTAAATCTTTTAAGTTATTTTCTTTCCTTTTTTCCCCCTATAGTACTAAGGATGGAACTCAGGGCACTCTACCAGTGAGCTACCTCCCCAGGCCTGTTTTTTTTTTTTTTTTTAATAGAGGAACTGACTAAATTGCCTAGGATGGCCTCAAACTTGAACTTGCCAGTGGTTAGAATTATAGGGCTATACCACTACACTGAACTAATTGCATTTCTTTCTTTTTCCTTAGTACTGGGTATTGAACCCAGGGCACTCAACCACTAAGCCACATCCCCAGCCGTTTTTGTATATTTTATTTAATGACAGGGTCTCACTAAGTTGCTTAGGGCCTTGCTAAATTGTTGAAGTGGCTTTGAACTCATGATCCTCCTGCTTTAGCCTCCCAAACTGCTGAGATTACAGGCATACTCCACCTCTCCAAGCCAGTTGCATTTTCTTTAGGATACCTGAGAAGAATTTGCAATTGAGAAACAACCAAGGGATTCAGAACCATCACTTCTCCAGTATGGACAGGATAACTACTTAAAGGACGGAATCTAGCACTAAGCTACTATGTGCTAAAACACATGCTGAATAAAATGTTCCTTATTTAATTAGAAGGAAAAGCATTCTGAGTGAAGGAACTCTTTATCTTATAAATCAGGAACTCTATGTATCTTAAGGGCATAGGATATGATTAGCATTCAGTGAAAACTCAGTTAAACATTTTTTTCATAAATGATTAAATAAATGAATAAAAATGAATCTTCATTTTAAGGGTATAAGAAGTAAATAGCCTACCTTCTTTAAGCATATGGAGTTATTGATAGGCATGTACACAGGAGAGGAGAACAGGCATTTGTTTATTAGAATTTTCTTGACATGCTTTGGGAAAAGCCTAACGTACCCATGTGCAAAACTCCCATTAAAAGCACCGACACTCATTTAGCTACTCATTGACTATTCTTCTTATTTATCCTATTCCAAACTTTCATCCTCTTTGGAGGAGAGGAGGGGGGAAGAGGACCTTTCAAGATAAATATTGCACTGCCTTTCAAATACTTAATCTATCAAGGGAATTCAGGATCCAAAAATAAATGTAACTCTGAGAATACTTTATAGCAGTGGGTGGGGAGACCACAGAAATGAATACAGTTAATTCCCTCCATTTCTTCTTTTAGAAAACAAATTAGTTAACTCTGTTAATATTTTTATATTAAACATCAAATAAATTCCTCATTTACAGTGGCATAAGTGCTTGAAAATGCCCCAACTAAGTAGGAACTACTCAAGTACAAAGGAAGGAGAAATCAATCAATTCCCATGCAGGCTTCTATGTAGGTTTTATTTATTTTTTCATGGTATCTCTGTATATAATTCTGAAGGCCCTTCTTATGCTTATTGGCCTTCAGTTGGCTTAAGTGTGATTTTTCATTTTGCTTTTGATTGTCATTATCATCTTAACTCATAATTGTTTAGCAACAACAAATTACCACAGAAATTATCAGGAATCCACAAAATAAAAATGCATGTGGAAAAGAATCTATAACTTATATTCAAAATTTGGATGTTAATTTCACCTTTGAAGACAAATTTTTTTGCTGCTCTTCTAATGCCACTTCTCTCACTTGGTAGTGTAGTTGAATGATATTCACCAGTTCGCTTATAATATGCAATCTGTTTAAGATGAAGGTCACCATTTTTTCCACTCCGGACCATCGTGAACCTAGGTAAAAGGTATTAAAAGATATTACTTAAATAATAATCTAATTCATGCTTTGGGAAAAGCCTATTTTAGTTCAGGTTTCTGTCACATCTCTGCTTTTGAATTGAGCATTCCCAAAACATTTCTGGGAGGGAGACAATTGTGATACAAAAAAGGAATAGAGTGATGTATGTGAACAAAAATATTCAAATGCTATTTTTGAGATAAATCAAGACAAATTATCTTGTCTCTTTTTGTGTGATAAGCAATGCTGAAAATTTTCTATATACTAGGGAAAAAAATGAACAAATATACTCTCTGTAAGGTTTGGTTAGTCCTCTTATTGCCAACAATGAAAATGTTACTTACATAGGTTAGTCCTGTTATGTGACATTTAAATAACAGATTATAAGGAGAGAAATGTAATTTTATATTACTTCTAAATACATTCATGATCATTACAAAAGGCAAAAAAACTCATATTCAAATCATATGTTAAATATATTTTGTGAATGTTCTAATGATACATGACAGAGAAGATATTGAGCAGCCAGATCTCATACATTCTTCTGATCTACATGTAAACTATTTATCTTGAACAAAAATGAGTTTTGGTGCTGTATGTACTCTGTCAATGTTATAAAAAAAATCTGGCTGTATTGGCAAAAGCAAAACCAAACCCTTTTCCATAACAGACTATAGGTAACATGGTGAACCTGTTACAAAAAAAAAAAAAAAAAAAAAAAAGCTTTTATTTCTTATTTTCAGTTAAAAGGAACAATTCTGTGTTATTCTATTTGCTACCATGCTCAATCCTCCATATCCACTTTTGGCCTTTCTCTCCTGTTTGCTGTGCCCTAGGAAATTGACCCTTACACTCTGCATTTATCATTTTCTGATTGGAACTATCAGTGGGAGGCAGTGGCAAATCAGAATGCAAGAGAAGAAAGAAGTCAGGATATTTATTTACTGGCTCTTTTCTTAGATAAAGCTGCAACCCTTTACAAAGAGCACCCATCGGGGAGCCTGTATTCTTTGTCTCTAATTCTCACTGGAAGTCAAAATCATTTCGTCTTGACATGTCAGTCCTAGAAGTGGTAACTATCTTTTGCTGCTATTAATCTCCAGGTTTATTTGTCCCTATACATACCTCTGAAAAAAGGAACTTCATTAAATTTTCTTTAAAAAACACAAGAGAATATATCTTCAGTTTCCTGCTACAACTCTAATACAAATTATTAAAATTCAAAATTCTAAAAACAATATATTTTCTGACTATTGAAGGATCCAAAGATGAAACAAAGAATATATTACTGTAGAGAGAACATTGGAACAAAGCAGAACAAAGTATGCCAATGAAACATAGCTTAAGTTGTATAAGTCTCTTTTCCTATGATACAGCTCTTTGAACAGCTAGTAACACTTTTCTGGTCTATTTACAAGTTCACAGAAAATACTAATGCAATTCCAACATCCCTCAATATTAAGTTAACATGAAGTATAATCTGCTTAAAAGTAAAACTTCTGTAATGCTAGCATAGTCCCATTATAATCTAAAAAACAGGTCGGTTCTCTACAAAGTATTATCAATCAATTTGTTCTAAGTTTAATCCACTTTCATTTAAATATATAACTTTTTTCATTTTATAAAAGATGGCTGTACCCACAAAGTAGCATATTGTAGCTTCTGAAAAACCCTTGAAAATGAATGGATTAGATTTTAAGATCTTGTATAAAAATAAGTAAAAAAGACACTGTAGAACATAAATATAGACAAATAGGCCACTGGAACAGAATAGAGAATGCAGAATTAGATCCATACATATAAAGTCAATTAGTTTACAACAAAACATTCAATATAATGGGGGAAGATATGGTCTTTTAGTGATATTGGAATAACTGGATATCTTTATAGGAAAATAAAACCACTAAGCAGCTGCCTCACATTTTTCTTAAACACTAATTCCACATAGATCATAATCCTAAATGTGAAAGGTAAACAACAAAGCTTCTGGGCGAAAACAAAGGAAAAGATCTTGAAATCCTTAGAATAAGCAAAGATTTCTTAAACAGGACACACACAAAAAAATATACAAGGATTTCATAAAAGTCAACATGTCTGTTCATCAAAAGATACTATTGAGAAAGTGAAATGGCAAGTCAGAAACTGGGAAAAGATGTCTTTAATAAATATATATATATAAAACAAAGGACTTGTATCCAGTGTGTGTGTGTGTGTGTGTGTGTGTGTGTGTGTGTGTGTGTATATATATATAGTGACTGCTCTCTTAGAAGTAGAAGAGGTTAAGTGATATAGAACTAAAATGTATCTAGTGGTTATAATACAGCAGGACAGAAGGAAAACAAACTGCAATGAGGTAAGGACTGGAAATTAAGAAAGTGGACTTAGTAAGCTTGCTCTTGGTCATGAAGGAAGGAGCTCTGAAAACAGTTATTAAGAGATAGAGATAATTTTCTTCCTATGCTCTTCCTCTCTTCCCCATTTTGAGTCACCCCCCCCATATCAGAGAAGACATTTGGCATTTGTTTTTTTTTGGGGGGGGGAGGGGGGATTGGCTAACTTCACTTAGCATAATCTGCTCTAATGTTATCCATTTCCCGGCAAATGCCATGATCTTATTATTTTTTAGTGCTGAGTAATATTCCATTGTGTATATATGCCACATTTTTTAAATCCATTCATCCACTGAAAGTCATCTAGGTTGGCTCCTCAAAATGGGGAAGAGAGGAAGAGCATGGGAAGATTACCTCTACATAGGGAAGAGGGGTGGGAGGGAAAGGGAGGGAATTGCATGGATGGTGGAAGGAGACCCTCATTGTTATACAAAATACATGAATGAAGATATGAGAAAAAAAAAGAATAGCATTACCCTAGATTAGGTAGAGAGAAGTGATGGAAGGGGAGGGGAGGGGGAGATAGGAAGGATAGTAGAATAAAAAAGACATTATTATTACTGTGTGTATATATGTGAATGCGTGACTAATGTGATTATGCAACCTGCATACTCAGAAAAATGAGATATTATATCCCATCTGATTCAAATGTCAAGATCATTGTACTGTCATGTGTAACTAATTAAAACAAATTTTAAAAAAGAAAAAAAAGAGAGAGATGGACGGAGGGGCTGGGGTTATGGCTCAGCGGTAGAGTGCTAGCCTAGTACGTGAAAGGCCCTGGGTTCAATCCTCAGCACCATATAAAAATAAATAAATTAAATAAAGGTATTTAAAAACAAATAAACAAACAAACAAAAGAGACAGACACAAGGTTAAGTCATTGGTCTAAATAGGAAGCAGGAAAGAGGTAAATTATTGTCTAATGTTCATTTATACAAGGTGAAAAGAGGTCTAGAGATGGATGGTGGTGATTGTTACACAATATTAATGGACTGAATGCTAGTTACTTAATGGCACACTTAAAATGGTTAAAATGGTAAATTTCAAATTACTACAATTTTTAAAAATTAAAGAAAAATTGTTTTGGTTGCAAGAAGGGAATAACCCAAAAAGTTTTTTCAGAGGAAAGGCTTCTAGAGAAAGACTATTAGAAATGGAGGAGAGGAAAAAATAATAAGTGACAGTATTATGTTCCTGAGAAAGCAGTAAGGGATGACATCCATTTTACAAATAAAGGAATTAATCCTATGATCTCTTCCCATAAGGATATTACAGTGAAAAACACAATGAAAGTAAATTGTTTCCATCCGAAATATCATTTAAAAATTCCCACAGAAGTTTCTGTCTAAAATGTAGAAGGTTGTAAAGTTACTCCCACCCTATCAAGGAGAAAAAGCTGGACAACTTTACAAAGATGCCAATTTCCCCCAACCTGATTAAAGATTCAATGCAATCCAAATCTGAAACCCAGAAACTCTTTTGTAGAAACAGATAAGCCAATTCTCAAGTTGATATGGGACTTAGAAAAGTTAAAACAACTTTGTAAAGTAAAAATAGTTAAAGAACTTCATTATTACAAGACTCAGTTTCTGGGGACCAAGTGATGGTGTAGCAATCAAGACTATGGTACTAGCAAAATGAGAGCAGTAGATCCATGGAAAAAACATAAGAGTCTCCAGTAAAATCCCACTCCGATATGGTAAACAGATTTTCAGCATAAGTTCCAAAGTAATTTTAATGAAGAAAGTCTGTTTTCAATAAATACTGGAACAACTAAACCACTGTATAAAAAAATGAATTTCAACTTATACCTCGCACTATATGTAAAAATTAACTTAAAATGGGTCATAGGTCCAAATATAAAACCTGTAATTACAGAAGTCCAATTCTAGAAGAGAAGAACTTTGGTCTGGCAATGACTTCTAAAATAACAAATAAAAAACATTATTTATGAAATAAAAATTATAACTTTTGTTCTTTTAAAGATATTGTTAAGAAAATAAAAAAAATCACATCTGGGAGAAAGTATTTGCAAAACACATTTCCAATAAAGAACTTCTATCTGAAATTTATAAAGAACTTTCAAAATTTATAAGAAAACAATCCAATTTTTCAAATGAGCAAAAGAGCTGTATGGATATATGGTTAAATAAATAAATGAAAAGTACTCTACATCACTTGAGACAACGAAAAAAAGTTAATTAAAACCACAATACAATACTAGTATATAAACAACAGGAAAACAACAACAACAAAAAAACTGACATACTAAGTACTGTCAAAGATGCAGAGTACTGTTGGTGAGAATACATACATGGAATTTCAAGAAGGGTGTGTCTAAGAAGGATGGAGTAAGAATTACAGGTGTTTATACTTACCTATGACTCAGTACCAATATTTGGGGGAAAAAAAGACACAACAACTGTCCTTTTTTTTTACAATAATGATATAATGGATTTGATAAGTCCTTTGTAAATAGTAAAGCAATATGTAATTACTGTTATATTCAAATATTATCATTCACATCAGGCTGTTTTAAGAGAACACTTTCTTTTCTCAAAAATTTTATAAGGAAAAAAGATTTTAAAATCTCTGTCCTTTCATTAATAGTGATTAATGTTTTAGAGCTATGTTTATTTATAAATTTATACTGCTAATAGCAAAACCCAGAAGACTCAGGAGGCATATAATTTATAATGACTATTTATTTACATATTTTTGCAGTAATAGGGATTAAACCCAGGGACACTCTACCACTAAGTCACATTTCTAGTCTTTTATTTTTTAAGAGAACGTCTTGCTAAATTGCACAGGCTAACTTCTATCTTGTGACCCTCCTGCCACAACCTCCTGAGTAGCTGGGATTTCAGGTGTGTTCCACTGCACTCAGCTATAATGACATTATGGTTTAATGCTGGCTCTCAATTTAAGACAGATGAGAAATAGAAAATGCCTAAGACAGATGAGTTTATAAAAGCATTGCATTTTAAATAGATGGTTAAGAGTTGTTATTTGTGTTTGGTATTTATGTAAAATAATTTAAAAAACAGAAATTTTTCCTATTCATCACCTGGTCCCAAGAAACCAACCATTTGAGAGGTAGTTAATATGAGAAGAATGGTTTTAAGCTGCAACATTCAGGACAAACAAATAAAATATCTTCTATGCACAGATTATTAAGTAAAGGTATTCACAAAGAAGATTTAAGAGATCTGAATTACGTAAGTAAAGAGTATTTAGCCGGGCTGGGGATGTGGCTCAAGTGGTAGCATGCTCGCTCGCCTGGCATGCGTGTGACCCAGGTTCGATCCTCAGCACCACATACCAACAAAGATGTTGTGTCCGCAGAGAACTAAAAAATAAATATTAAAACAAATTCTCTCTCTCTCCCTCCTCTCTCTCTCTCTCTCTCTCTCAAAAAAAAAGAGTATTTAGCCCATTTTTGGATTTGCTTATATTTTCAAGAATTTAGGAATCTGAAAAGGTAATTGAGGGTGATCACAACTTCTGTTTTTGCAAAAGGAATGTTAGGATCATATTTGGTTAAAATGAACAAATATCTTTGTGAATATTTATTGCTTAATTCCTTTGATAATTTTATCTTGTATGTCCAATGAAGTAAGACAGGTAAGTCTTAATTCAAATACAATAAGGTTTTGTGTTTCAAAAAGGGTAAAAACCATCAAGCTGGTAACCTAAGCCTCTGAAAGGTAATAATATGCATGTATTCCAACTTAAAGTAAAATCTTGGTTTCAATAACACAAAAACTTGGAATCTGTATTCTGATTTTTTTAAGTATTCTATTTTAATTGTTGAAAAAAAAATGGGCCAGTACAATTTTATGCAATGTGAGAGACTGGAAAATGAATACACCAGATACTTCTTTGCTTCATTTCAGCTTACAAAAACAACAAAAGCCTTTAACTCCTTATGCATACACATGAAGCCACATAAGATACATTCATTTTCATTTTGAAAATTATTTTTCCATCCTGGTTTTGACATGCACACGTAGTGGAAATAAAATAATATGTCCCCTTTTCCTTAAAACCATGTGAGAAGATTCTGTCTTAATTTCACGTTTCTCCCCACCACACAAGCCTTTAATTTGGGGCAACATTTCAGATTAAATCACAACTATGATAAAGCATGGATCAGAAAGCTCTAATGTCAGTCAAGAGCCGCACCCGACCTTTGAATTCACTCATATCCTTGGAGTCTCAAATACTATAACTATGCAGAAGTATTTCCCAAGCATTTTGATGGCTTGTTAACTGACTTTTAAGGGTAAGGTCCAGATAAACTAAGCACAAGCAGGAAAACGACTTTGAGTAAAACTCAATCCCATCTAGTTGTCACCTCCCAGGGCCGGACAACAATATTCTCCCCTTTCTGGCCTGCTGGGTGGGACTTCGCAACGTTCAGGGCCCTCCCGCCCCAAAGGCGCCTGCGCAAAATCTTCAGCCTTCAGTCGAAGAGAATGGTTTTGAAATTACTGTCAGATTACACTTTACTTTAAAATAAGATAAAATAAAATAAACCAGTACGTATGATAAAGCACATCAGAATGACCACTCACCGAAGTGGTCCTAAATGCAAACCAAACGACTGTATTTAAGCTTCCTCTCGCGACTTATCTGGTGCTACAGGAAGCGGAAGTACCCCAGTGGGTCCTTCCTGGGCCTGTGGAACCTCGAGTGGGTCCTTCCTGGGCCTGTGGAACCTCGGTCCGGAAAGATTAGGGCGGATCGTTGGGCTCTTGCCGGAAGTTGTTCCGCCCGGTCAAATTTGTGTGTGAGACCCTAGGCGGGTGAAGAAGAGGCGTGCCCGGGATTCAAGAGGTGTAGTAGTGCCTCAGCTACCTCTATGTGGCTCTTTAGCTGCTGCTGAACAAAGAAGACCCCCGTCCCCGCGAACAGCTGAAGTCTCAGGACCAAAACCTCACCCACCCTTGTCCCCAGAATTAAAAGGGGAAGAAACTGAAGCCTATGTATGTCTGGCTATTTCCAGCAGCTCGCGTGACGACCGCATCCGAGTCAGGTGAGGGCCCCAAGATCAATGGAGGACAGGAGATACAGAAACTGATCTCCAGATGGTTGCTGCCGCTGGTAGGCATTTGCTTTGCCTCCTTTGCTTTAAGGACCCCAGACAGGCGGCTCCTTGAAAGGGCATGTGTTGGTCGAACAGCTTCCCGGGCTTAGAGTGACAGTACAGCCCTCAGGGTCCCTTGCGTCTGGTTGTCCCTTCCTCCGCCGCCTCCTCCTCCTCCTCCTCCATTGCTTTCCTTTTTCAAGTTTCTTGGTTTTGAAACTCCACAAATGGCAGCTAAGTTAGGGAACTGCGGAGCTTCCCCTAACTGCCACTAGTTCCACCAAAGGTTAGCACCTTCGAATTTGAGGACCGCTGTGGGTAGAGTTGGCTATTTATTTTTTAGTTTTAGTTTTAGTTGTTGATAGACCTTTATTTTATTCACTTATTTATATGTGGTGCTGAGAATCGCACCCAGTTACACATTGTCAGGCAAGTACTCTACCACTGAGCCACAATCCCAGCCCTAGAAGTGGCTATTTTAAATAATTTCCATTCCTTATTCTTTGTTCCTTTGCTTGTTGCGCCTCCACGCCCACTTTAAAAGAACAAAAGCCTTGTGCATTGTTGCAGTTTTCTGTTATGGTCTGGAGGCTTCAGTTCACTGCTGCACCTAATGGATTGAAGACTATTACATCCTGGTTTGTGGGTAGTGACCTTTGGATCTCATTCACGGGGTTCTGGGCAACTTCCTGGCAGATTATGATCTTGGAGTACTGTAAGTAATAGTTATCTTGGTTTAGCAAGCTGGAAGGTTTAGCTGTAGAAGTAAGAAGCATGACTGACTTCAGCAACTAGCATCCTAGCCCTACACTGGGATAGAATTTTGTTTTGCTATTATAATTTCCTCAATGAAATATATAGTTTTTGTTTCAGATGGATAAAATAACGAAAGTAGCTTCCATTAATGAGCATTATGACAAGTGCTTTACACAGTCACTCCTCAAAATTTACCCCTGTTTTATAAATGTAGAAATTGAGGCTTACAGAGGTCAAGTAACACTCTCCCCAGTAAACTTTTGCTGCAAGTAAACATTTGAATCTCTATTAGAAACTAAATCTCTCTGGTTCCCAAATCTGCATTCTATTCTCCTACCATTATTCTTACACAATTCCAATTTTTTTTTCATCAACAATTTCAGTGGCTAAAAGTATTCATTCATTTAAAAAATTTTTGTGTGTTTCTACTTGTGTCTGACAAGTGACAGACATGATCTATATCTTTATGGAGCATCAGTGTTGTGATGCAGAATTAACTAGTTCAAAATCCCAAATACTTATTGTAGCATAGGCTTATTTAAAACTAGTGACTGATTGATGTGCAGGAAGCTTATAGGAGTAAAATCAAAGCTTTCTATTTAAGTTTTAAACTCATATGACATATAGAGTAGTTATGAGGGTATATTAAAATTAGCAATTGATAGAATTTTTTGTACTGGGAATTGAACCCAGGGTCTTCTGCATGCTAGAATCACTCTACCACTGAGCAACATCCCCAACCCTAGAACATTTATTAATCACCCAAATAAGTGCTGTACACTAAGAACTGAAAAAATATAGTTGAGATCCTTGTTTTTCAAAAGCTACCAGGCAACTACATATAGACAATATTGTAGAACAATTTAATAATATTCTTAGATGGAAATGGTATTGTGTTTAAGTAGAAAGATGCAATTATTTTTTGGAGATGAATGCCACTGTATTTAGAAGTCATGTATGTTGATGCCTACAGCTTACTTTCAAATGGTGCAGTAAATATATGCATATGTATGTGGTTACATAAATAAAAAGTAAATTAAAAAAAAGTTGATCATTGTTGAGTTTAATAGTGGGCATATGGTTGTTTAGTGAACTGTTCTCTCAACGTTTCTGAATATTTGAAATTTTTCATAATAAATTTGGGAGGGAAACAAGCCCCAACTCTAGAGACAGTTGTAAAAATAGATCTGAAATATTGTGGAGCATATTGGATGGGAGAGGGTTTTGTTGTGTAGTTAGGGCCTCCCAGAGGCATGATAGTTGTTAGGAGAGCATTTATTGAAGCCTTCCAGTCATTTATTTAAGGAAGAATAAGACTTCCTATTCCTACAGGGGAGGAGTGATTTCCAGGGAGAAGGAAATGCAGGCTCAGCAGAAGGGTATTATATGAACATTTGAAGAAGGAAAAAAAAATCAATGTGAAGGTTGTATGAAACTTGGACTTTTTAAAAATAAATAACCTTAGAAATGTTACTAGTTTGCCTTTACCATCCTGAAGAAGCCTATTTAATATTATGCAGTTTACTATTAATGCCTTAGAATTTAGTCACCATTTATAAGAGTGATTCCATTGGAAAATGCTTTGGGGACATGAGGTAAACTGTGTTCAGGTTGAGCAGCAATACTGGAGTTCTCATTTTCTCTGATTTGGGGAGCAGAGATATAGTATTAAAACTGGCCTTGAGGGAATTTATGGAAAGGGCTACAATGAAAACTTGGACAGAGTTTTGTATTCAGCCAAGGGGCCTCTGAATACTGTGTAGGACTCATGGGATTTAAACAAGGTATTTTTTTGAGGACTAGTAGCTCTGGCCAGGACCAATAAAGCTATGAAAGAGAAGACTCTTTATCCTGGGCAGTAGTGTTTATGATAGTCTCAAGTAGTGTGGTGAGACTGGAAAAGATGTAGTGAGGTTTCCAGCAGCAGCATTGACAAAGAGAAGTTTCTGTGGCTTCCTTGGATGGAAGGTAAGTAGTTAGACTCTAAATTGAGTTGTTTTTGTTCTTAGATAGTTAGAATAAGGTAAAAAAATCTTGTCTTATTTATCACAGTTAACAGAATATATAAACAGCTAACATTTATTACGTGCTTAACATAAACTGGTTTTTGAAGCATTGTCATTGTTATTGTCATTTAGTCTTCAAAAAAATACATGAGATTTATAATCCTATTTTGCAGATGATAGTTAGACAGGTTCAATAACTTTTAAGGACACAGCTGAGCAAATTTAAGAAAAAGCATTCAAACTCAGTTTTGTCAAAGAATATAGTAATTGTTCTCAAAGTGTGATTCTTAGTCAAACAGCATCAGCATCAGCTTGGAACTTTTTAAAAACTCAAAATATTGGCCCTCACCCCACAACATTTTAGTTTAGTACTTTTAACAAGCCCTCTAGGTGATGTATGCTGAAGTTGGAGAACTACTGCTTTGAGTGTGGAAACTTATTGACAGGATGGTGCTCATTTCAAATTTAGAAATCAGGGTTAAGTAATGCTTGTCTTTTGCATAGATTTAGAGAGTTACCCAAATATAGCTGTTCATCCATTTATTAAAATATAGATTGTTTAGTTAAGAATTATTAATTATGGGACTAGGGTTGTGGCTCAAAGTGCTGAATAATGTTGAAAATGTTATATATATAATGCATTTGGTTCATTTATCAGAGTTTAAGTGAAATAAACCATTTAGAATATCCTAGATCTCCTACAGGGCTCATTTTATTTCATTTTGTACCATATGTATGCCACGTGAATGAGAGGAAAAAAAAGGTTTATTCTATACTTTTAGTTTTCCAAGAATTTAGTAAGTATTTCAGTAATGTAATAAAAACTATGGATTGCTGATTTTTTACTTTTAACTGATATCTGACATTTTGCCACTCTTATTGACCTATGTGATCATTGAATATGATTTCATCAAGTTCTCAGTGCTTGAACTTTTGAGCCTCAAGTATTCATTTATAATGAAATAATGAACATACATAGATGTACCAGCATTTTTAAAATGAGGAAAATATCTCTATCCCACAGTATTAACTAAGTGCTTCTCAACTTTTTTCACATTAAGGCAGACATAGAAAATTATTGTATATGTCCTGTGTTTTGGGAAACTGAAAAGAATGCTACTGGAGGCAACTGGCCAGGGGGTATAGCTAGCTGTCTTGATGGCTGAGACAATTTTGTAACATACATAAAGCTCATTTATGGTGAGGCAGCATGTTAGGAAGCTCTGCATTAACTAGTTACTTATCAGATAACAATGTTTATTAAGTGTTCATTACTTTTAGGTTTTTATTTTGGAGAGAGATACATAAACCCAAACTGTTAAATAATGATAAGGTTGTAGGTGACCAAAGGTCACAATAAGTGATAGAGGGAAGAAGTTTTGAAAGTTATTGAGGAAAGTTTTGTGGCAGAATATTTATTGAGTACTTGAGATGTACCAAGCACCAGGAGGCAAAGATTGTGTGTCATCACTTTTATCTCCTTTCTATTATAGAAGATAATCAGATTCCCTATACTAATAGCATACTGTCAAAACAACAGTGAGGGGTGGGGTTGTAGCTCAGTGGAAGTGCACTTGCCTAGCATGTGTGAGGCACTGGGTTTGATTCTCAGCACCACGTAGAAATAAATAAAAACTAAAGGTCCATCAACAACTAAAAAATATTTTTAAAAAAACAACAGTGAATGGATATATTTTGCTTACTATGTGCTTCCATTCTTCCATCCTCTTATTCTTTTGGGGGTTACTATATGAGTTCTAAACCTTGGCTGTTCATTAGAATTACCTGGGAACCTTAAAAATACCTCAACCCTACTCTTGAACATTCTGATTT